AGGGAGGGAGGGAGGGAGGGAGGGAGGGAAGGAGGGAGGGAGGGAGCATTTACCAAACCATACTCACCATAATTGCCCTTCTGCTTTTGCTCCAATTGTCTTATCAAAGCTTGGCAGAAGTTCTTGGCTAGTCGCTGCAGACTTTCTGACATCTGCTTATTCTCTGTGTGCAGGCGATTTTGTTGGGTGATGGCTAGACGGAGGAATTAGATGAATTACAGTTGGGAATTGGAGGTCAAAGAAGAGATGCTAGGATCTTTCAGTAAACTTTACTTTCCAGAAAGCAATCACCATAGGAAGTGTTTACTGGATGTGTGTGTGTGTGTGTGTGTGTGTGTGTGTGTGTGTGTGTTTATATGTGCGTACATAAATGGATCAGGGCAAAGGAAAGTGACCTATAAGAACCAGACACCAATGGCTTCCGCCTGTCACCCCCGCTACTCAGGAGGCTGAGATCTGAGGACTGCGGTTCAAAGCCAGCCCGGGCAGGAACGTCCATGAGACTCCTATCTCCAATGAACTACTCAGAAAAAGTCAGAAGTGGTGCCGTGGCTCAAGTGGTAAAGCATCATCAACCTTGAGCACAAAGAGATCGGGGCAATGCCCAGGCCCTGAGTTCAAGCCCCAGGACCAGCAAAACAAAGCAGAAGGACAAGAATACAAGAAGTACACAAGCTACCCGTGACATCGTAAAACTGCGCGGTTAGATTTACGGGGAACAAGGACACCATAGTTCAGCAGGTGACATCAGAAGAAAGAAAGGGTTGAGCTAGATTGAGCTTTGATTCAGACAGGGAGATGGAGATTTCACGATGAATTTTGGAAAATCCTGCACTGGCTGGGTTCTTAGGATATTCGGGAGCGGGGAGGTGAGAAAAAATAGTTTCATACGCTCACTCAGATCCAGACCGAGGAAGATTGTAAGGCCTAGTTTTCCAACTTTGAAAATTACGTTCATTCGTGAAAAATAGAATGGGAACTGATTATGATCCGCGGGGAATAACAGGTCAGCGTTCTCTTCTATAGGGCATATCTATTGGCAGTTGTGTCGCTACAGAACACGTGGAAGGAATCGTGGCAAACAGATCGTTAATGTTTAATTAATGACTGCTTAGCAGGGGACAGTCCTATCCTTACACACTAATGCCCCGGGTCAAATCATAGCAAAGGATTTCATACGTACACACGATTCCCAGCACCACCAGTCCGACCAGCATGCCCACGGACAGGACGAGCAGAAGGAGAGCCGTCACTCGCCACCAGGAAGAGGAATCAGCATTAACTGCAAGCGTTAGAACCAATGAAAACAGGCCTGGGAGAGGGGCTCCGTGGTAGAGCGCCCGCCGAGCGTGCGTGAGGCCCCAGGTTCGATTCCTCAGCACCACAGACACAGGAAAAGCCAGAAATGGCGCTCAGGGACAGTACCCCAGGCCCTGAGTTCAAGGCTCAGGACCGGCAAGATAAGATCAAACAGTCAAAATGCCATGTTCATGGTGCCCTTACTTGCCCCAAAAATTTCCACCTGTTGTGAACAGCCGATGTGTCAGATCTGTTTGTGGGGCAGGCCTGGGGCTCAAACTCAGGGCCTGGGTACGGTCCCTGAGCTTCTTTTGCTCAAGGCTGGTGCTCTACCACCTGAGCCACAACACCACTTCCGGCCTTTTCTATTTACGGGGTACTAGGGAATCAAACCCAGGGTTTCCTACATGCTAGGCAAGTGCTCTACCACGGAGCCTGGGGGGGGGGAAGAATTTTTTAAAAAGAGAAAGGAAATAAATATAAAACTATAAATAAACAAAAATAAAAATAAGATAACATCATGTTATTAATAACACAAAGAAAAATACACCACCTGATAAATAAGAATCAATGAGATCAATAAAAGACCCTCATATACAAGACACTTTTATAATAGCCATAAAAACATTTTTAAAAAGGAAGAGAGAGAGGAATAAACATTCCAAAAAGAAAGGAAGAAGCAAGAAGGAAAGAGAGGAAGAAAGAGAGAGAGAGAAAGAAAGAAAGAAAGAAAGAAAGGAAGGAAGGAAGGAAGAAAGGGAGAAAGAAAGAGAGAGAGAAAGAAAAAAAGAGAGAGTAAGAGAGAAATAAAGAAAGGAAGAAGAAAGGGAGAAAGGGAGGAAGGAAGGAAGGAAATGGTGTGTTCGGTTACTCTTCCCTGGCTCACAAAAAAGTGCTCCTAGCGTTCAATCCCCCACGTCTTCTGGGACGCTTTCCATGGGCAAGGCCCCGTGGCTGCTCCACCCGAGCCCTCCAGCCTCAGAGAGAAACAGAACGAAGAAGACAGGAAAGTAAAATGAGAGACACAAAGGAGAGAGGACCCAGCAAGCTAGGAGCCGTTCAGCGCCCTGGAGCTGGTCCTGGGAACCTCTTACCCGGGCGGGGGGCCGGCTTCCGGGGCTTGGGGTTCAAGGTGATGTACCCATCTTCATCCTGCATGGTTCTCCTGGCCCTGCGGGTCCGTCCAGCAGAGGGTCTGAGCCAAGCCCTGTCCGGGGTTGGAGGGCAGAGCCCCCCGACACGTGACCCCGTCTCCCAGCAAGGGACAGAGGCTTGGGACTTGTGTGTGTGAGTGTGTGTGTGTGTGTGTGTGTGTGTGCGTGTCTCCTTTTATTTTTCCAGGAAGCTGCTTCCTGACGCTTTGGAGATCTGGGGCCTTGAACCTAAATATGCTCCCGCTGGGTGGCAAAGACCAAGATAGGCGGTTTGTTTCCTGTTTTCTTATCTGCCATTCGGAACCTAGGGCAATTTGTCCCTGGGTCCTTTTAAAGAACAAAACAACTTCACGCTGCTTCGTAACCCCGCCGACGTGGGAAGGGCTAGATGGGTTGTTATTTTTAAGTCAGTGGTGGGGCTTGAACCCAGGGCCTGGTGGTGGGCGCTGTCGCTGAGCTTCTTTGGCTCATGGCTAGCGCTCTACCCTTGGAGATGCAACTCCACGGGTGGTTTTCTGGTGGTTTTCTTGGAAGTGAGCGTCTCACTGACTTTGCTCACCAGGCTGGTTTTGAACCACAATCCTCAGATCCCAGCCTCCTGAGTAGCTAGCATGGCAGGTGATTGCTTCTATGAGTAAGCTCATTTCATAAATTGCTTGAACTACTGCAAATGGACTGAGCTTATTTTTTACTATTTGCACTAGAGTGAGTGCACACTCACTCAGCTGATTCTGACGGCTTCCATTCTGCCCTGTCCACCTTTGGATTCTCTCTTTCCCGCCCCCTTCCAAATCACAGTTGTGGTCAAAGCAGATCCCTGTACTAAACATTCAGTACCTCATCCGCCACACGGAGACAACTCTGCACCAGGGCCAGCATCCCTTCCCTTGTTTGTTTGTTTGTTGGTTGGTTGGTGATGGGGTTTGAACTCTGGGCCTGGGCGCTGTCTGTCCCTCAGCTCTTCAATTCAAGGCTGGCACTTGAGCCACAGCGCCACTTCTGGTTTTCTGGTGGTTTCTTGGAGATCAGAGTCTCACGGACTTTCCTGCCCAGGCTGGCTTTGAACCGCCATCCTCAGATCTCAGATCTCAGTCTCGTGAGGAGCTGGGATGATACGTGTGAGCCACCAGGCATTTTTCTTTCCAACTTTCTCATTATCTGATCCACTGGATTATTTGTCATGGTGCTGAACATTATTTTTAAAAGTTTTGTTTTTCCACCCACGCTTCAGATTCCTTTGGGAATGAGGCGACACTTGGGAAGACTCTCGGAAATCCAAACATAGCAGAAATCCCACTTATTTCCACACTGAATCCAAACGAAAATGAAAATAAAAAGTGCTAGACCTCTTCCCTGGTTCTTAATAAACGTGAAGGTTCGTGAGAATGTTAAATATACAACCTCGGCTCTGGAGCTGACCTTCTTCTCTCCACCAACAGAGCTGATGATTGTTTCTAGCCATAAGCAGGTCACGTTATTCTGCCCCCATTTGCCCGGGACTATTTTTTCCTATGCCTTGTGTCAGTCAGAAGGCTCTTTCTTCCTCTTTCTGACAGAAGATGAATGACCTCATCCCCCAGAGCTCAGCCCTGTCCGCTTCCCTCCCCCTCCTCCCTCCTGTCTTCCATCTCTGCCCTTGTCTCCACGGGTCTCTTCCGGCCTTCCTTATCTTCCTCCCCCTCCCCCTTCCTTTCTCTCTCTCTCTCTCTCTCTGCTCTGTTTGTTTATTTATGTCTGGATTGATCTCACTATTTGTGCAATCCTGACTTAAACTTCGAGCGCCAATTCATTGATCCAACATGAATAACTCTATAAACAATAAGCATGACCAACATAGTTACCCACGGCGGGAAGAGAAGAGATTTCAATGCACATTGGCAGCCCTTAATTTAAAGCAGAATATTTGATCATACTTGGGTGATATATAGAGACATATTTATATATATGTATTATATATACTGTATATTATATAGCATAAAATACGCATGTATATATAGTATACATTACATATAGGATATATATAATATGTATAATGTGTATATAATATTTATAATGGATTACATTGAAATTCTTTCTTTTTACTTTTTGTCAGTCGTGGGGCCTGAACTCTGGGCCTGGGAGCTGTCCCTCAGCTCTTCAGCTCAAGGCTAGCGCTCTACCACTTGAGCCACAGCGCCACTTCCACCTTTTTTCTTTTTGCTTATGTGGTGCTGAGGAATCGAACCCAGGGCTTCATGCATGGTAGGCAAGTGCTCTACCCCTGAGCCACCTTCCCGGCCCTACACTTAAATTCTTTAAGCCATACATTGAAGAAACCGCTATGTAAAGGTATGTTATGTATTCATTGTAGGGATAACGTAGGGTGAGGGCATTCTCTATTTGAGGGTACTGTGTATATGTGTGTATGTATGTATACATATATACTTTTTATATATACTTTATATATACATTATATGTTGTATATCTACATCTATATTATTGTATTCACATATAATATACATAAAGTATATATGTATACTATGTATACATGTTTTATACTATATAACACATGTATATTCATATATACATACACGTATATGTGTGTACATATATATGTATATATATATTCCCAGTAAATTCCAACCTCTGTTCATTCTCTGCTGCCTCCTTGTGGCCATTGATTTATCTGCATTGTTTGTTTTTGGTTTGTCTCCTTTAGGACTTTGGTCCCTCGGGATTGTGATTATTACCTTTTCTATTTCTTTTTCTTATAAATGATTTTGAGTTAATTCCAATGCTGATATCCTTCGCATATTATTTAATTTAGGCTTCTCCGACATAAACACAAAATGAGAGAGCAGAATGATGTGTGAAGAACCTAATGAATGGAAAAACTCCAATTTTCTCATCCAACTTAAAGGTTTTCTTTTCACAGTGTCAGTGAAGCTATAGCATGACAATAAATCCAAGTTGATTAGAGTGTATTCATGCTTTCCATATCTTGCTGGAGTTAATATTCTCAGGCTTCCTATAAGATTGAAAATTTCTAGGTCATCTGTAGGAAAACAGAAAAAAAAACTTAAAATTGTAGATTTCAGCCAGGCACTAGTGGCTCACGCTTGTAATCCTGGTTACTCAGGAGGCTGAGATATAAGGATCAGGGTTCGATGACAGCCTGGGTAGGAAAGTCCATGAGATTCTTACCTCCAATGAATCACTTAAAAATCAGAAGTAGAGTTGTGGTTCAAGTATAGAGTGCTATCATTGTTAACATCTTCACACATGTAAAGGCTGAATTCCAGTTAATTTCACCCTCTTCCCTCCTTTCCCTGTCCCATTTGCCCTGAAAAATAGCATCTCCAACGGATCTTCTCATTCCAGTTTTATAGTTGCTAATAATCTGTTGCAATAGTTTTCTATCTTTTTACAAACTCATTTTTTTGCCTCAAAGAGCTGATTTTTGAAGATGTGGTAGACTCCCAACCTTGACTTATTGACATGAAACCCCTTTATATAACTACATATTTTCTTAAAACCTGCTTTTAGGTATTCATACATTATACAATCATGTGCATTGGTGCTATAGACAGAATGGAAATTCATGTCTTGTTCAGAATAGCTCAAGAGCCACACCTTGTCAATAAAAAAAAAACACATTCTGAAAGTGAAAGGCTGGAATAAAATCTACCAAGCAAACAGCCCCCATACACAGGTGGGAGTTGCAATCCTAATATCAGATAAAATAGACTTCAAATTAAAGTTCGTGAGAAGCGATAAAGAAGGTCGCTACATACTAATTAAGGGATCTCTCCTTCAGGAGGATATTACAATTCTAAATATCTATTC